GTGGTGTGGAGACCAGCCAGCCCCAGCAGCAGAGCGACAACAAGTACATGGCCAGCAGCTACCTGAGCGTGACTGAAAGCTATTGGAACAGCCACGAGACCTACAGCTGCGTGGTCACGCATGAGGGCAAACAGGTGGAGAAGACCCTGAAGAAATCCGAGTGCTCCTAACCCCGCCGGACACCTCCATGCCTGGCGGCCTCTCACCAGCCCCCATCTTCTTCCCCGCTGCTGGGGATAGCAGCTCCCGCCCTGCCGCAAATGTCTCTCCCCACATCCCCCTGTCCCCTGCTCCTGTCCCCCCGCCTCAAGTGTCACACGAATAAACACCGACACTGAACTAGCGCTGGCTCAGCATCCCTGTCTCTGTGTCCTTCCAATGCGCTCGCTCCCCTCGTGCCCAGCCTGCGTCACCCCGGTGGCACCACTATGGAGGAAGAGGGTGGGATGGGAACACACACGCACACACACACACGCACACGCACGCGCGTGCATATTGCTGAAGGTGCCCAGGGCTCCCTGCAGCTCTTGGTCACCCGCAGGGACCCCAACAAACTGCCACGACCAAAAGATGAGTAGTTTGGGGCATCAGCCTGGTCTCAGCTCCCATGCTGGTGGAGGGCACATGGCTTTGTCCCCCTCCCACCAGCCTCTGGGCACCAGGTCCCTAGGAGGGACACGTGGTTTGTGGCAGAGCCATGGCCAGCCCTTGCTCCTGTCCCCATTTCCCTGGTCAACTCTGTATCCCCTGGGATGAGGGTGCCAGTGTAGCCTCCGGGGCATGCACATGCCCCAGTCTGTCCCTTGCACCCTGTGCCACGGCAGCTTGGGCCGCTGTGTGCCACATGCCCCTTCCCGGGCACGGCCCCTGGAAAGTTTCCCTGCAGCCCTGCACACAGAGCTCCCAGCTACAGCTGTGCTGAGAGCATCAGTGCTCAGCTGCAGGCACCCCATCAGAGCTGCCAGGAGCCACCCTGGCGACAGGAGCACTCAGCCACCCTGTGTACAGTTCTGGGGGGCATGGCCCCTCCCCAGCCTTCTGGTAAGGAGGACACAGCCCCACCACATCACCCTCCCTGGGCTGTGTCAGTACCAGTGAGGCGCTGTATCCTGCCAACC